AAGAGTAATGAACGTCACGCAATCACAACTAAAAATAGCTTTCGTTACACCTGCGATCGGCTTGTCTTCTAAGTGTGGAGTACAGCGCGGAGTCTTATTTACCAACACTGAATCAAGCTGTTGGGCGATACAAAATATAGAATGAAGAAATTTTTGTTTACCTAATGTATGTACCGCTAGAATTCCCGTGACTTCGTTTTTATCCTGAATTTTTTTTCATACCACATGCTCCGTGACAAAATTACCTAAGCAGTCTTTTAATACAGGCTTAAATACAATTTTTAGCCGATGAGTGAGAATAGGACTTTTTGTTTCCATTTGAAAATCAAACACTGCTGTTGTATGGAAATTCTATATGACGGCCTCTTTAAAGGAAACTTTTCTTTCATGTACCGATTCACGAACGTCTAGCGACTAACCAGGGATCGTGGTTTGTCGTCAATATGGAACCTTCGTCAAGCTAAATGTCTATTATTATTGATTCCAAACCTTGAGGAAGTAATACTTTGAAACTCAGAGACAAAGTGGTTTCGTATTTTATGACAATACGAATAGTAGCCTAGTAGTTTAATGTTACAACTGAAATGTGATTAGAATTATGTTTAGCAGGAAATGCCCAGAATTATTCAGACCTTACTTTACATGACTTCCCGTAAGCTTGGAAGTCTTTTATGGTTACCGTGCACCTTCAGGGGTGTCTCACGTGCAAGCGATGTAGCGCGTCCGGCTTAAACTGTAGATATCTAAACCCCATATCAAATTAAAGCTTATGGGACTGGCTATCAGACTATACCTGAAATTTTGAAAAAAATATGAATTGTCGAATTTTTCACGACTTCTAAATGTGAGCGCCCTAATCACCTTTCAAGAGCTACAAGTCAAAGGGAATTTGTTCGATTGCTCTCAAATTTTGACAGTAGCTAGTTTTACATATAAACAACAAAAACATGTCTCCGAATTTTTATTTCTGAATACTTTTTTTTCAAGAGCGATTTTTGTACGATCCCTCCACATTTTTTAATCCTATTTCAAAAATGTTCTGTAAATTTTCATTGAAATTGAATATGGCAAATCGCAGACAATTTTTTTTTTAGCGCATTGGCCCAGGAAACGGAGGAACACATTAAATAAGCGAAAAACAAAATTCGCTTTAACATGTAACATTCAAAATGCGCTCGCATTTAGAAGTCGTGGCAAATTCGAGAATTCATTATTTTTTTTCAAAATTTTTGATATAGTCTGATAGCCAGTCCTATAAGCTTTAATTTGATATGGGGGTTTAGATATCTACAGTTTAAATCGGACGCGCTACATCGCTTGTACGCGAGACACCCCTGAAGGTGCACGATAACCTTAAGTTCTCTTCACAATGGTTCAGATAAGCATTGATATTTAAATTTGGTAGCAATACATGTGTATTAGGCCTTGAATTTATTTGGTAGACTACAACTCCTTTTAAGTTACTTGTTTGGTTTTGGTTAACTCCTGACAATTTTGATTTACATGAAAAATTACACTCTCGATTGGCTGAAAACGGCTAGGAGCCTTTTTCATGTATCATTAGTGCAAAAGTAATAAGTCAAGTACAAATGCAAACTAATGCTCAGCAACAATAGATCACACTAGAAACCAATCAGATTTACTCGAAGTAGATTGTGCTGATTGACAATAGCTAACCAAAATAAACAAAAGCTTGGATATTTTTTATACATATTCATAAACACTAACAAAATTGCATTCCTGAGTAAGATTTCAGCTGAAGGACAAATTTTGATAGCCCAAACTTCATTTAGTCAATACTGTCAAGTTTATCTGCTGTCAGTTTGTTGATTTCTTGTAAATGTGTATCTTTCATGTATACATTACGAATAAGTAATAACATGATTTCTCATGGGATAAGCACTTGTAAATTTTTCAAATATAGTTAACTGCGCACACCCTAGGAGCACATAATATTTGTTGTTTGTGAAGAAGTTATTTGTGCTAATTTAAAATGCCAAAGTACGCTTAAATTAATTTAGCTTAGACTGTGTTGATTTTTTATGAAGAGTAACACTCAACATATGGTTCATTAAAATATTGCTTGTGTTCTGATCCTGTTATGCACCTATCTTTTTCCCCAAATTCTTCCATATACAACCCCATATCCACCTACTTTAACTAAATTTTTCTTTTTCTTTATTGAAAATACATAGAGCCAATCCCAAGACCGAGAGCCGATATTCTTCCAGTACGGTCCCGAGCAAGCTTGGTTAATAAGAGATTTATTATACGACTGAAGCGCAATGAGACACAAGTGCGGTATCATTCGGGACCATTTGGGACAGTGCCCGGTCCAATACTGAGAGAATATTGACCGGAAATAGAGCGTTTTGATTGGTTGATTTTAGTTATTGGTCTCCTGACTGTCCGAGTCGTGTAATAATTATAGTTAATGTTTTGCTCTCATCCAACTGAAAATGGAACTTTGTGCCCTAATGGATGATAGAAACTTGCGCTCAGCCTTGTGTTACTATACCTGTACTTATTATCCAAAATTAGTTAGATATTCAAACCAAATCAAGCTCCCAATGGCTCCTAGTGTAGATTAAATCTTTTTGGAATGTCCCCGCCCTTCTGCAAAGTTTTGTCCTCTGGACTGGTACACAAAATGTCAAAAATATTCATATGAAAATGCGTTCCTAGAGTTAATTTCACATCCCTTACCTTGGAAAAGACAATCGGCCCACAAACTTCAGAACTCAATACCACTGTGGTTCCACCTTTTTTGAGCGTTCCGTTTGAAAAAGGTGGAAAACAATGCAAACAGGCCGTTGGGACTTAAAGAGGTGACTGCTTAATATGAAGTTTTTCCAAAACTCTACATGTACCTCTCCTAAGTAGATAAACATGAAGAAGCCAGTTTTAATGAGCATCATATGCTATTTACATTTTTTGAGCCCTGATCTTTCTTTTCCCATGTCCAGCAATTGAAAAGTCCAGTCCAAGTAAAATTTTTAAATCGTTTTCTTTTGAGCCCGCTGTAGTATTAGTGTGCGGAAATCGATTTGAATCGTGAAAAAGAGCATAGCTTTGATACCGATCGAAGATGTTTGCATACGATTCTTCTCTTCTTTGGATTTGCTGCAGCAAAGGTACGAACTTGAAAATTGGTGATAGAGTTTTTAGGTATCAAGTGGGGTCTCTCTCAAAATCGTGAAGTTGAGCAAAATCATTGACTCGTGAACAAAATATACATTTATGCATCTTGAAGCGCCCAACATCGATTAACATTGTTATTAAATGTCCATGACTTTTTTGCGGGCTGACTGCCCTCATAGGAGACAGGAAATGACCGATAGAGCAATCAGCTAGTCACGAAATACAAGATTTACGATCAGATCGAAAAACTACTGGATATAAAAGTCATGCCAGAGATGTAGGCAATTACCGGTATGGTTGTTTACGTATCTAAACGGGAACTTCCATCATTCGAATTATCACTCAGGGTTTGCGTACGTTTTAATTTGCTTCATAAATGTCATGTTATGTCAGAAATTGAAAACTAGTCTCGAAATTTTGTAGCTTAGCTCACAGAGGATATGGCATGATATGGTGAATTTCATTTTCATTTAACTAATGCCTCAAATTTTTGTTAAAATTTGGAACAAGGGACGGTGTTTTTTCGGAACACGTGGGAGCATGTGTAAAACGATTACAGCGACTCAATAACACATCGAAGGGCTGTCGTTATAAACGAGCTCTTGGGACTACTTTACAGGTCGCGAAAGCCAAGATAATCATGGAAAACCAGAGTGACGGTTACAGGCGATTTATTAATGAACAATCACAACCAAGCCTAACTTAAAATTCGAGCAAGATTCGAAAAAGGATTCAACCAAGATTCGACCGTAAAATAGCCTGGTTGAGCCGAAGGTTGAGAATAAATCGAAAAGTATTTGACCGTTTGAATAATTTTGGTTTTTACGAAAGTTAATCGAAAAGCTCTCTAGTATAACTAATCCAATCCTGTCTATAAGCGGAAACTTAATTTTCCTTTTGTCACGTATGTAATCACTTAACTAATTTCAATCGACTCGACAAAGCATATTGTGATTAAACATAGCTGTTTTCAAATTTCAGGAAGACTGAATGGATAACGTTACAGCGTCGTCGCCCTAATCTCCACAAGTACAATGAAAAGAGCTTTTTGTAAAATTGTTACGGTTGTAGGAGTTCTCTGTGTCGCTGTTGTGGTGATTTACTTAAAACTGTACCATCCACATGATACACACAAAAGAACTTTCACGAACAAAGAGGAATTGGAAAGCCAACGTAGAGTCCACTCTTCGAGTATCAATGACATTTCAAATGACATTTTAACCAAATACTCCCGACTCAAGAACATTCGTTCGCAATGCTCTCAGCTGACGTTTTCATTCGCTTCCCATGTCACGCAACCAACCCTCAGCAGCAGTAACAAAAGTATTTTCCTTCTGATTTTGATCACATCTGGAGTTGGCAAATTGTATTCAGAGCGACGAAACAGTGTACGTAAAACATGGGGCGACAAGTCGATCAAAAGTGGCTGGAGAAACTGGGAGCTCGCGTTTGTAATAGGCAAAGCTCTCGGCGCCCAGCAATCTGAAGAAATTAGCCAAGAAGCGGCCGTTTTTAAGGACATTCTTGTGCTGAACATGACGGATAGTTACAACAATTTAGTGATAAAGATTTTTTCTGAGTTGCTATGGAGTTTGATCTATGTAAATCCCCGTTTTATCCTCAAAGCTGATGACGATGTTTATGTTCGTATCCCTCGACTGCTCTCGTGGCTGGATAATTATGCGAATGATAATTATGCGAATGATAATTATGCAGGGGATAAATTATACGGCGGTTTCGTAATTGGCGACGCTGACGTGAAACGAGAAGAGAAGTGGAAAAACCGCGTTGCAAAAGACTGTCTAGCAAGAGATTTCTATGCTCCATACTGCTCAGGTCCTTTTTACGTACTGTCCACTGATGTTCTGCCTTCAATATTTGAAGCAGTAGAGAGAAAACCAGCGTTCCCTGTTGAAGATGCCTACATGGGTATCTTAGCCCAAGAAATTGGCCTTCAACCTGTGGATATACCCGGTTTTTATTTCAGGAAAAAGCTAGCAGATTATCGAAGGTGTGAATTTGCTTCAGCAATCGCTATAGGGCATAATTTTGGATTGATGGAATTTATTTCTGTGGCAAAGAACATGGAACAGACAAAACAGCTTCCCAGAAGTTATTATAAATGTATATTAGTATATGAATGGTTGGGTTTTGTATTTCTTCTGATGTCTCCGATTATTTTGCTTTTTCTTGTATTTATTTTTGTGAAATTCTTATCTCGTCTGAAAAGAAACCTGTTTTATGTGTATCGCAAGGTATAGTGCATCGAATACTTCGACCGGCACCTGCTTGTCATTACGCCAGCCTCTGTTAAAAGTACATGGAGTATGGTGCAACTAGAATCACTTTGTTCGTCGGTAAATAAAACGGTTACGCTGTGAGCTCTCATAATCTTTTACACAGACCTCAAGTTAGTTCTGAAAGTCAAGATGACCCTACCGGTCTACAGCTCTGTGCTTTCTCTTATCGTGGCCATTTTGTCAGCGGTCACACGCACTAGCTCAGGAACGAGCCACCCAATGGCTTTGCCTGTCGTAAAATTCAGTTGAAAATAACGCAAATTCTGATCCCGTCCCTCATGAGGGAGCACTTTATGGGCGAGTCGATCGCGAGAACATGATGAATCGCTGAGTTTCAGATCTCCTAAGCGCTTAATCAATGTAAATTATGTTGCAAGATATAACTGTCCCGTTTTTTTTTCTTTTTTAATAAAATCGAGAATTTAGATGTACATATGGTTAAAATACTGTGTACATTACTTTAAAAAATAAATTCTTGGTACTTTTAGATTGACATGCGTATTAACTACCCACTAAACGTAATTGGAATTAAAACCATTTTACCCTCTGACAACCCAATGTTGGGAGCCAATGAAAGAAGGAAATTCGTCGGAAAGCAAGCATATACACACACTGTTTACTTTACGAGGGAAAATTCAGTCGATAACAGATGGCAAACTCTTTAAAGGAGCACAAATTGGATTTTTTTTCCATTTGTAAACCATAACTTAATTATATCTGCTGTACGAGAGATAACATCGAAGGCTGCTGAACGTGGCATGCTAGAAAACAGGTATCTTACTCCATTTATTAGGACATGAATTTTTTTTTTTTTTTACTTTTTTTTCGCCTTTGATGGTTTATTTATTTGAGATACTTTGTAATCGCGTTAGGTCTGTTTTTAGCATTTTATTTTTGCGGACCTGTCTATCCATTTTGATCTTAAAAGGGATTGAGCTGATTTGCATTCCGACAAAAATTGTTAAGAGCAGTTTCGTTGCGGAATTTTTTGTACTGAATCGCGATATTTTTCTGTCCATGAAAACCAATTCTTTATTCATTCACATTAAAATGAGACTGGGTGAGGTAAAAGTGATTTCTATATCACTCACGTATATTGTTGCTTCCTTCAAAGGAACACATTTAACTTCTTTATGTACCATTAAATTTCAGATTTTAATTCACCACCTCACAAACAGTTCGATTAGATCTAATTAATTGTGCCTTGACTCTCTACCTTGCAGCTTCTGTCATTTAAATTTTAGGTATGCTTTTGACAAACGAATATTTTGCCGCATTTGCGATGGTTTTAATACTCGCTTCGTCTTTTCTTGAAGGAAAAGGTAAGCTATCGTTTCTATTACTATTTTGTATTGGAAGGTAATTTCCATATCATTGCTTGTCTACTGAAAAAAGTGAAAATTGGGGAACGTAAGTTGTATAGATATTAAACTTGAAAGGTAAGAAAATCACCTTGCACGAAAACTAGACAAAACATGAGGGATCAGTGATATGGAAACTCGTCCGACTATTAAACCGAAATCAGAAAAATGAAAGTCTTTGCTTTGCCCAGGATTATCATTTTGTTCAAAACAATACGAAACAACTTCCTCGTGCGATGAACCGACATTAAGAGACCACCTCTCGCTTAAACTTAATGTCTTTCCCATTTAGAACAAAATTTAAGGACAACACAAATAATCTTAATGATACGAAATCTTTCACCAGCGCAGCCTCAAAACTCGGAATGCTTTGTCATCACCTCGACTTTTAATGTTCCATGCCTGGAGGAACATATAACGGGTGATGTGATGTTCACATATCAAGTTGTATCCAAGCTACAGTGTGAAGATTTGTGTATGAGAACTCCACAATGCCAGGGATTCAATTATGACGAACGAAAGTGCGATATTTTACGCAAAATACATGACCCACACGAAAGGGGAAAAAGTGTCAGCATACGAGCCTTCATGAAAAAGGTAACTCTTTTTTAGCGTTAATCCATCAGTGTTCCATCACAAATGCTGCTGAAGTATGGATGCTGTCTATTTAACAAACAGATTCCATGTTTCCGTGCATCTCTGTAGGTCATAGATCACAAATAATGTCAAATTACGGTGACAACAGAAATTTGGCGCACGAGGCAACTATCACTAATGCTTCTGTCACGTATTGGCGTCATCAGCGATCCATTACTGTCTATTATATTGGCATGATGGTTACGAGCTGTTCTTAAATTATTCCTCTTCCTTTTGCAGTTTCTCTTGAGCAAAGATGAATGCTTTAAAAACATATAAACGACAAAAAAAAAAAAACAAACAAACAAACAAGCAGATGGACAGATGAAAGACATTATTTACCTCAAGTATGTCAAAGTTT